ATTTAGGAAAGAGAAAAAAAAATATATAAAAAAAATATTATTGACAATTGATGGGAAAAAAATGTTCTAAAAGACTTTACATCAAACATATTTTAAACTACAACATTTGTTAAGATAAAAGTATGACAAAAATATCAAAGCAATGCTGAATATTACAATAACATGCCCAGTAAACATGCATGGTACATGTACCTAAATACACCGAACTACAGCCTGGGGATATACAAATGTATATAAAAAAAGCACTGCATAAGTAAAGGCAAAACAAAAATCTCTATCACTCATCTGTTGTTTTCAGATATTTGCATAAAAAGTTATTTAAGGATCCCTGTACCACTGCGAACGAAACCTGTAAATACAGGTCAGAAACTTATCTTTTTTTGCATGACTAAAAGAAGCAATAAACAAATATGATCAACAACAGTGCGTTCAGAGTGAAAATTTACTGCGGCTAACCTGACTGAACGGTTAACTGACTGAGTTAACTGGGGCCTGTTCATTTATGCAGAACTACCGGTTAGTCTGTTTTTAAATGTAACATTTCCCTGGTGGATCTGCAAATGTTAATGCAGGCCTTGCAAGGCTTTGTCAAAGCTCGCCTGAAAGCAGCAACAGAATACTAGGTCCGACCTAATTTCATAAACGAACAACTTTGATCAAACCGGTTTAACCGTTTGGACTGCAAATTATAGCCAAAACAAAACTAAGGGGAGGTAAGTGTAGATACGGAAAACCACAGTGCAGTGCCACAGGGATCCATAATGCTGAAATGCTCATAAAAGATTAACAGAAATACAGTAAAACAGTATCCCCCCCATTCCTCTTTGGGGGACATAAACACAATGGACTAGTACTACTATCATATTAACATGATTAAATATACACAACATGTACAAAATTATTGATAATGCTGAATTCGTTTTCACGTAAATCTAACAAAATTGACTAATTTCATTGCATGTAAATACAAACAAAAAATTTCAAAATGAATAATTGACCAATCATATATTATCCATGGAATGCTTTTTAAAACTGTTATATAATGTGCATTTTGCTTTATGTTTTTCATGTTTAGAATTTGTATATCTGCAGTAAACAATACAGTACTTGGAAGTGATAAAAGCAGACAATTTGTTTACAACCAAGTACTGTACAGAAGGTTGTTGCGTTAACTTTGGCAGGAAGAGAAATCCATAATTGTAAGATGGAGACAATATGGACAGCTTTTGATGAAGCAGATTTTACACATTAGAACTAACTATGCATAAAATGGCTTCCCAAATCAATCTGCATGAAATTCAAAGTGTGTATACTTGACCAGTTACAACTTATATAACTTATATTACGTAATCACTCTCGTGGCCAGGATGTTAGTGGGGAGAGGGTCCGAATTTCGGGAGGAAATCGGAGTAACCGGAGTATCCAGAGAGTATCTGGTCGGGCAGGTGATCTCATGCCTTTTCACATCCTTTTCACATCCGAACGGGGAATCAAACTCTGGCCATCTTGGTGAAAGGCCATCGGCTTATCCACTGCGCCACCAGACCAGCCCAATTGTTTCTGTATGATCCCTCTGAAAGCTTAGGACCCACTCTGGTGCCCCTGTCTTATAATTCTGACCAGATGTGTGCCTCTTAGAGGACAATGCCAACTGTTCAAGGCATATAACGCAAATAATATTCCAAAAATTTAACCAAGCCTTACTATCTATACCCCTAGAGCCTCTGGCCATTGAACATTGGTTGATTGAACAGGACAATTATTTAACACTTTCAACCCTATATAACTTTAGTAGACTCTACCATGCATTGATTTGGATGAGTCCATTAAGGTCTACAGTGGTGAAAGGGTTAACTAAAGAATATCACCGGTCATGGTGCAATATTGGAATTTAACAGTTTCTGGTGTGAACGAACCTTTCAAAATAATATAGAATTATGATGAAAAGTTTCATCGCACCATGAAACTGAAGAAAATTGTTTTGTGCACGTTTATCACTCTCTGGAGGTTTTCGAGAGGAACGAATTCCTCTAGATATGAAGAGGATCCAGATACTGACATGGATGGATGATGAACAAATATCAACTCATTCACCCCTGAAGACACATTTGAAGTCTTCAAATTCAAAGGTTGGAATAGTTCATTATGAAAGTTCATGGGTGAATGAGTTAATGGGGGGGAAATCTATATACATTTTTGAAATAAAAAAAAGGTTAAAAACCGTAGTATACTTTGTGACATGAAATGTTTGTCGGTACTTTTTTTGGTGGGTTGAAGATATTTTGATAATTTTGTGGTACAAACTTTTGTGGATACGGAAACGTAACTAGTGGATTATATTTGGTAGTTCCATATAGCAACCACAAATATTTGTACAAACGTTTCATGTTGCATTGCATTTTCTGAAAGTAGGCTGTATCACTATGCTAAAATTCTACAGGTATGTAATAAATTAAATATTATACATATAACATACATACAAAATCAACTTTGGTAAAACATCAAATAGTTTTGGCAAGAACATCAGCAAATACTGACTAGGCTAACAGACTAAATAAAGGCGTCTATACGTATACATGGATAAATGTTTTACAGAAATCTCAAGATGTCAGTCATAATACTATGCATAGCGAATACATATTAAACTGAACTGCCCACAAGGAATGTATTTCAAATCTGAAGGCCATTCAGCTGACATTTACATTGTAAATCCAGATTTTTCGCGTAATTTTATAATTATTATTGTCAATCAAATGACAGATAGGGATCACAATTTGAAACACGACAATCCCAGGAAGTGTTACCTGCAGTTTTAAATTTACAATTTATTTTGAAGACTTTAAAATGTGAGTTGTGCAATTTTATAACAATCAATATGAAATGTTTATATAAAAAACCAAAATGATTATTACATTTTCAATTAAATACCAATGAATGCTGTTCCAATAAATATATTGGCAAATGATAAGCAATTATCAGTGGTTTAATTATTATCGTTATATATGAAGTCAAAGTGATGACCGCCAACAGTCGGGCCATGACAATGCCATGGTGAATCTGTGTGATGATCACTTGGGAATTTAGACATAGAAAATCACACTTATTCCATCAATAATTGCATTTCATAATTAATATTCATGTGTGCTGTTCTCGTAAATAAAACAGCCGCAATCCAATATTATAGTCATAAGTGTTCATTATCATTGTCAAAATATTGACCGTCAACAATAACCAGACCATGACACAATGCCTTGTGAATTTGTGTAATGATCATGACAAGGAAATTTGGTTTTGATTTTTCTATCAATCATTACATTTAATACTTAATACCCATGTATGCTCTTCTCTTAAATAAAACAGCCGCATTCGGATAAAATAATCATTGGTATTCATTATTATTGTCGTTACTTGTCAACAATCTGACTATGACAATGCCATTTGTTGTTGCAACATCATTTTATGTAAAAGGCAAATATATGGTACCCTGGAATAAACCTCCTTTAAATAGAGAAAATGTATTTAACACTTACAATTCACACACCCAGTCAACAGTTAAGATCAGCTATCAATGAAGAGCATATGAAAATATTAATTTAACTAGACTTCACTTATTACGACAATTTCTTTCCGCGAATTTGAAGAACTATATGTTAAAACTAAATTACTTATCTTTTGATTTTTGTTAAAAATGTATTTCAAAGCATTAAAATCTTAATAAATATTTATAAAATAAAAGTCCAGATTTACAAGGTTTCACTAAAATGGTCAAATTGCCTGAGGATAAATTTGTTTTCAAATATTGCCATACTTGATTAATTGACGTGCAGAAACAGCTGACCAATCAGAGTGTAGTATAATAATTAATTACTCAATTTTCAACATGCTTACCACATTTCATCAAAACTGAATGAAAGACAGATGAGCAAGTTATCTTGACGAAAACCAGTGGTTTTAAAGTTTTATATTCAAAATTTAAAAAAGAAAATATTGGAACCAGAGAATCAGAGATGATGGACTAGACTAAACTGTAGGGAATGCTAGCGGAGTACAGATAGATAAAACGACGGACTAACAAAAATAGTATGGAAGGACAAATGGACCAGATGATAAACAAGACGATGCCAATAGTTGGACAAATCCTTTAGCACCACTCAAACAGTCGGACAAACCAGCAGAGTTCCGACAGAAAATCACACTCCGTGGATAAAGAACAGCCATTATCTCATTAATAAGTCAATCTATATTATGACAATTTCATTTTTTAAATACTGATTATAAACACATATTAATCTTTTCATTATTAATCTTCCCTCAATATTGTATTCAAGATATTTTGAATATATACATGTATAGGAAGTAAAATTTGAGACTCATGTCAAGAAACTTAAAATTATAATGAGAGTAAATATCTATGTGTGTATTCTAAAAAAGTCTACAAAAACTACGCTTAGAAAGACAATAAACCCTTTCATCCCTATGTAACTTTAGTAGACTCTCCCATGCATTGATCTGGATGTGTCCATTATTATTTACAGTGGTGAAAGGGTTTATTTGTGAGATTAAGGTAGAATGTAATGCTGAATGGACAAAGATTGAGGAATGTTGAAAATGAGAAAATGAAAACAAAAACAAAAAATATATTATTGAAACCTCAAATGATCCTTTTGCTGGATTTCAAATAAACCATGTGCAATAGTTTTTTTCAACTCATTCACCCCTGAAGACACATTTGAACTGTTTCCGTTCAAAAGATGGAATAGTTCATTATGAAATTTCAGGGGTGAATGAGTAAATAACTATACTTTTCTAGGTCATATCAGATTTAAAAATACTGTAATCTTTTGATTTATCAAAATTTAAAATTGCTTTCTCAATAATACTGGTATATGCTATATTTATCTTATGCATTGTAAAAGTGAATTCAGTTAAAATTATCTCCCTTAAACAGCACCTGAGAAATGCTGATAAATAAACATTAACCCTTTCCCCACTATAAACCATAATGGACTCATTCAGATCTATGCCATGGCAGAGTCTACTAAAGTTGCGTAGGGGTGAAATATAAAAAAAAGTTGGACAAATCCTTTAGCACCACTCAAACAGTCGGACAAACCAGCAGAGTTCCGACAGAAAATCACACTCCGTGGATAAAAAAAACCTTGTTACTATGTATCATAAGTTATTTTGGAATTACTTTACTCATAAATCTACATCTTACGAAACATTTTTATATATATATATATATATCAAGATGAAATAAAAATTGAAAAAAAATAAAAAAAATCCTAAAGTTTAAGAAGAGCATTGAATCCAGAACAGGATTTGAACACTGGATCTCCAACCATTATATTGTGGCACTTACCAACTGAGCAACCTGGTAAAAAGTATTACCATGGTCTGGTCACGCCACCATTATAGCACAAAAACAAAATAAAAAGGGAGGTCAATCATGTATGAAAAAAACCCAGCAGAATTCTCAAGTGTTTTGCCTCCAGTCAGTTAGGAACCCTTAACAGAGTCCAATATATAATTCAAAAAGATTAACAGGCCTTTTTAGTGTGGAACTCTTTTTAGAAAGGGGATACATATATTACCTTAAATGACATCATTACAGTATTTTCATACCTTTGTGTTTCAAGCATAGTAATATCAAAGAAATAAAGCTAAAATCTTCAAACTTTAGTGAGCTAAATTTTTCTTTCTGAAAATAATATCGTTCACCGAACCATTATCCCTCTGCATTCGGAGAAGTGTTTCGTATCCTTTGGACTCCATGAAGGTCTGTAAGTCCGAATATCGGCGAGTGTCGTGAACGTATTCTACTGTCAACATTTTAATGTTAACCTTGTCAAAGGGAATGGTCTTGAGTACATTAAGTTCGTCACCCTCGACATCCAGACTAAAGAAGTCCACAGTAGTTTGGTTGAGTGCCAGTAAAATGGAGTACAGGGGCAGACATTGCACTTGCACTGGGTCTGACTTGATGTTTTGTTTCTCGATCCAGTTCTTGGCCTCCTGATCGTGGACTACTCTTCCCCTGTTGAAGGCCTTGTTAAATGTCATCTACAAAATACAATGTGGTCAACGTCATCGATACAATGTGGTCAACATCATCGATAATATATAATCTGGTAAATAAACACCACAATAGATACTGACAATATATAATCTGGTAAATAAACACCACAATAGATACTGACAATATATAATCTGGTAAATAAACACCACAATA